GGAATAATTACCTGGGCTACTTGACGTCTTCCGGTGACGGATTCCCAGTCACGCTCTAGTACGCCGTTTCTCACAGCGAGCGATTTCCACTGGGCCCAGTAGCTTTTGTACGTGGGACTCCGATCCGCGATGTCCTGCCATTCCGGTCGTTGGCCGGACGTTGGCACAAACGAACGCTAATGATTTAACTTGGATTGGTAAAAAAGCCTAAATAAGAAGGAGCAAACAAACATGAAAATGCGAGGTGTCCAGTTCTGTAACACATGTAAATCTATACCTTAGAGAATTCTTTTATTCGGGCAATGTTTTTTATTCCGTGCTTATACCTTTGTAGAATTAAGTCCCATCCGAGCAAATCTCTTATTATTATGTCTATATTTCACCAAATGGTATATTTGTTATCGATATAAGATGAAAACATACAGTAATTATCTAATTCTGTAGAGCTGAGAAGATCCATTTTAATATTATCTTCCCAACTATGCTTAGGCTATTGCACTCTCTATTTATTTATGGATCTGTGGTCTGACAGATCACTGATGATGATGATGATGATGATGATTTGACAAAAATTCTATATGTTTTTCTATTCTCCCCATTCGTGCTACAATCCCTGTCCATCTCGTCCTCCTTGACATGATCATTCTAACTATACTTGGCGAAGAATACAAGTTATGAAGCTCCTCATTATGCAGTTTTCTCCAACCTCCTGTCGGTCAAAATATTCTCCTCAACACCCCGTTTTCAAATACCCTCAGTCTATGTTCCTCTCTTAATGTCAGAGACCAAGTTTCGCACCCATCCAAGTTCCGCTACCAAAGAGTTATTTATTAAGATATATGTTACGGAAATAGGTTGTGAGGATGGAATGTGGATGGAACTGTCTCAGGATCGTGTCCAGTGGCGGACAGTAGTATTAGCGGTGTTGAGTCTCCATGTTCAGATGTCTGCAAGATGTCTCTGACAAGCAGCCATGTTCCTTGCGCAGGCGCACATTCCCATGTTGAAGTGGACAGCGGCATACAAGAAGGCTGCTGGGGTTAAACGTTCGCCATCCGCGGGAGCGGGGGGCGGTGCTGGTGGTGGAACTGGGAGCGGTCCGTGCTACAGTATCAGACGAGCTGCGGCCAAACTTCACCTGTCCAGGAAACGGAATCGTAAGCCGTCCGTTCCAGGGTTCAACCCCCAGCAGGACAACAGTCAGCAGTGTAACCAGAGTTTTGACAAAGAGAACAGGTAAATGCGACTTGATCCCAGGTTCTGGTGACGGGGAGCGGAGGGTCGGTTGCTGTGTGAGATTATTCATTCGATTGAGCTGGTCCACGACAGATTTCGACATTGGACTCCTCCTGTGAATACGGCAAAAAAATCATCGTATTCTAAAAAAAGAAAAGTGGAAAATTTCTTCAACATCTGAGCACCCATCAGCGCTTAATTTATGTTCAGGTAATACTGTCACACGTTAGAGTGGCCATAGACGGGGTATTGGATAACTGAATGTTTTCCCACTTACTTACTTACTTACTTACTTACTTACTAAGGGAGCTGAGCCCTTCTTGAGGAGCCGCCAATTCTGCAGCTACTCAAGAATTTCCCAGCAATTTATGGAACCCGAAGGTTCATTACCGTATTCAGAAGAGCTCTCAACTGGTTTCTACCCTGAGCCAGATCAATCCAATCCATACTATCCCATCCTATCTATCTAATATCCATTTTAATATTGTCCACCCACCTACGACTTGGTCTTCCTAGTGGTCTCTATCCGTCTGGCTTTTTAACCAATATCCTATATAATTTCCTCGTCTCCCCATTCGTACTGCATGCCCTGACCACCTCATGCTCCTTGAATTTCTTGCCCACTTACAAACTTAACTACAAATAACTATAACAATTTCGTTAATTCCCACACTTTACAAATCACCGCACGCAAAGTCTTTTCCAGCCAGCTGTGTCCTCACTAGGCGCTTCCTTGTAACGGCTTCTAACAATGGCTATTCTTCTGCTTCCGCCCTCATGTCCTCTCCGAAGCGCCGCCATTTCTCTCCCAAGCCACACAGTGCCCGTCAGTCCTCCCATGACTTGCCCTTTCACCGCTCTTTCTGCTACTGTGTGTGCACGGCGCTCCTTTATGCCGTTTCAGGACCCGTGACCAGAACAAGCAACATGGCAGCATGTCTCCCAGAACACGTGACAGCGTCTACATGCGGCTGGACGCCATACCGGCAGCGTTACGCGATGTCAGTAACCACTACCAGACGTCTCCCGCGGGCACCTCCCCAGCGCCACCTGTCGTCACAAGAAACAAGAGCCGACCCCGGAAGTTCCCTTCTGTTAGGTCAGTCGCCCCCTTGTGGGCAAGCCCTGCTTCAGAATTTAGATTACATTGGTCAGGGTTCGAGTCCTGTGCTGCGTAGATTCATTGTAATTCCCACGAGAGTAACCATTAATGGGAGTAGCAAATCTGAACTTATCCCTTTGCTTAGTAAATTAATTACCACGCCATGAAGACGTATGAGGGAATGGAAGTATAGCTCCAGTATTCTTGACCTTGCCACCAGATGGAGGTGAGTGGTCGGCTTCACGCCGCCTGCCGCTTTAACGCTAAAGAAAGAGCCCCCCGTTACCCTTTGGATAGGGAGCTGGGTGGGCCCCAGGGCCGGTCTGGACGCTATGGAGAAGAGAAGAAACTTGTCTCCGCCGGGAATCGAACCCGGGCCGTCCACACCATAGCCCTTCGCCATACGGACTGAGCTATCCCGGCTCGTTAGTAGTAGTAGTAAACAGCAACAGTAGCAGCAGTCAGTGATTATTCTGTACGTTATATTAATTCTGTCAAAGCTCCGTATGCCTCGGTTGACTGCAACAGCCTTGAGTTGGCAGAATGAAAATAACTCGAAAATGTTGAATGAAAAACAAAATTTACAACTCTATGTTTTAATCTATTTGTTCAGTTTGACCTTTCCTGCTTAATGAAATTTAGAACATAGAGGTTATTCATGAGTCCGTGAAACATTTTGAAAATTTACAATAAATAAACTACGCAACGGATACCAAATTTTATTGCTCTGAAACAGAGATAAACTCACCAAATTTGTTTCATATAGTTCACAGATGCTCAATGTGTCCACTTTGCTGATACGACAGACATTTATGCAATAATCCATTTGGTCCCACACCCGTGTCAGCATATCACGGTCGAGCAGAGCCACAGCAACGCTGATACGGTTACGAAGATCCCTGAGATTAGCAGGCAGCGGCGGCTTTCAAAAAAACTTGGAGAGATTCATTCTCTATCGGCGTAAGAATTACCATGATCAGATGCATAGTTTATTTGTTGTGAATAATATTCCAGACGACTACATCTGGACGGTATATTTCAGTTTAATGTTACTGCGCATGATCGTAGTGTTCACGTGTCCACTGTGTTAGTTAGGGGCTTCCCCGAATTCACAGTAAGGAGCATGTGAACCACAATCTCCACCTCCTCGCGCTCCACTCGGCGTGCCAACACTACTGACGAGTATAAATGTCAGTTCCGTGATATTTTAGCAGGAATTCAATTTCCTTTGGGGGGGGGCATTCCTTGCATAATCGTAGCTAACTCTTTATATTTATTTGATTTATTTTTATGTTTTATATGCTTGCCTGTAATAGGCCAGTGCTATTAGGAAGCACTGTAATAAATTAATTGGTATTATTATTATTATTATTATTATACAAAAGAATGGATGGAGAATGTCTTACACAGTTGGAATTCCTTTACCGATTTAAGGAACGACGGCACTCAGGAAGACCAAAGCGACGATGTAGAAACAAAGCTTATGATGGAATTCATCCTAACAGGCCATTGAGTCACGTAAATTTCATTATTTTTATAATAATGATGTAACGTCAATATATTTGACAGTATTTGTTTAACGCCAGTTTTCTGATTAATTTGGTTATATTCAGTATTATAATGAACTTATGCTTGTTCTGCAGTAGAATGTCTCTCGTGTGTGTATTTGCCATGCTTGTATCTGTGTTGCTTCCTGTACTTTTGGTTTATGTGATTGTACTCTGCAATGAATTCCTACACTTGTTCACATATCACGTGAAAGTAAGGAACTAAACTTGATTACTATTCATGTTATTACAGAAATGAAATTACTCTTTCGGCCAGTCTGTTTTATAGCTTGTTGCACGAACTTTCAGATATCCAAATGGAGCTGACGTCGGAGAGACCGTAAATGTTTCACAAGAACACTCTTTAGAAGCATTTCCTGTACGTCCTCACAGTTGCATGTCTTGTCAAGAAGAAGAATCATCAGAGTTCAGAATACGAAGTGCGGACTTTCCTCTCAGTCCCGGAACCACGGGCGACAGGCTGTCCCACACTCCTGCTTACAACAACACTTCTGGAACAAGAACCCACTCAACTCTGCACATAGAATATTCTCCATGTCCTATAAGGACGACTAGAAGTCTCGTGGCACTTAGACGTCGTGTAACTGAGGTCTTTGTTCAGTCGTACCACAGCGTCGGGACGCTTCATCATCCTCAAAAGAGTCATGACAATCCAATCTACTTTGCTCTAGCCCAACACAGAAGTTTGCCATATCCGATTTCCCTCAATACAGAGACAAATTCAGATTTCACCAATCGTGATTTAGAAAATTCTCCACACGGACGCTGTGCTGATGGCGTTCCCTTCAAGTTGAGGCGGAAAGATCCCAGTTTGTGTTTTACTGAAGAAGTTAATGGCACAGACAAGGACAAAGAAAAAGGGCACACCAATTTAGAGGACATGAGTGGCCCTAAGGAACCTCTTTCTAATAATTTTCCCCTTTCTCCATTGTCACGTAACATGGCTTCCTTAAGATTAAGCAGTGGGCCAAGAGACTGCTCCCTCCTGCCACCTGCCCCACGTATCACCCCACCATCTCCATTCCTAAACTCCACAACGTTCGTGTCCAATCTCATCTCAACAAGCCAGAATCAACTGGCACAGGTACATAATCACGACGTGACGGATCCTAGGTTCTTAAGCTACTACTCGATACTCAGTTCGGCTGGCGTTCCTGTCAAGACTTCGGAACCAAACACCATAAGCTGCTCTTCAGAACGTAACCAAGAGAGTCCACACACACCAACCACTCAAGGTCCGGTTAAAAGAGTCCTATGTTACCCTGAAGAAAGTCCTGTGAAGAAGACAGATGCGTCTCAAGAAGTGGATAGAGAATTGACGAAGAGACCTTCGCTGAGGAGAGCCAGAACTGGGACTTCAAACAGTGAAGAGGGTCCCCCCGTGAAAGTTCAGTCTATAGTTCCATCCAGTGGCCATTTAAGGGCCTCCTATCACGAAAGTAAACCGATTTCAGAGGAGAGAGAAGCATACTACAGGTCCAGTTCCCCAAATGTAAGGACTGCAAGACGTAGTGTAAAAATAAACCGCTCGAGAAATAGCTTGAGACGAAGCTCAAACCTCATTGGTAGAGAAGACAAAGACGCGGAACTGAAGGGTGCTGGACGCAGAGTATTAGCTAGTGATAACGCGGTCTGTGATAGCACATGCAGTGACGAAAAGTCTCCCTATTTTGATTTGTATCCAGAGGAAGAATCGATGCTCAGACGACAAGGAGGTTTTCGGCGACGGCAAAGATCGGTTTTCAGGAGCGCTGTCACTAGTGATTCTTGTCTATTGAACATTCCGGACAGAATTAGAGACAAGTTCCCTGGACTTACGCTCCCAAACGGGATTCCCAGCCCTTTTAGTCCACAAGACACAAGCATCTGGTGGTCTCGTGATCATCAGGTTAGTATTTCAGATAACAGCAAGACTTGTGACATGTCGTGCCATCTCGTTGGGTTGCCAGAAGCTGATTCACTGCGAACTTCTAGTCACCAAGATATCTTCAGGCCAACTTCTTCTAACATGATTGGTCCCGTGAACGGTTGCTCAGATATGCGTCCAAGGTTTGGTCTCACGTTATCTAAAGGAATCCCAAGTCCACCGAGCCCATCAAATGGTGACGATGACCAATATTGTTCCTCAGTCGGTATTGCAGGAATCCAACCACTTTCGACGTCCCCTGTTCCACCGGCAGATAATAGTGTAGTTATGTGTAGACAGAAGAAAGGAACAACTGATGAAAACAGCTCGCCATTTTCCGACGACACATGGAACTCACACAACCATCAATTCGTGAAGATGCCGCGTTTTGCTGACGGACAGTTGCTGAAAGGTGCCACACCAGTACGAGGCGAATGCGATATGGAGGATGAGCAGCTGGACTCCTCTAGTGGTAAGTGCGCCGTGAAACTTTGCTTCACACTTCGGAACCTTAGATTAGTGTATAGGCTTCTGGAAGAATCAGTTTAAACGTCAGAGAAAACACAATGTATACCCATCACAAAGAAATGATGACTGTTTTTTGTGAACGCTTGTGTTCAAACTGCAGATTTCGTTTATATTACAGCAGGTGGTGCCTATATTTGCCAGGTTCTGAAGATTGTACTGACATTGTCTTATCTACCACCATAGCGCCTCCTGTCGACCCAAGCCCCATGGCCCTCGTGGAGCGTCGATCTCGATCCCGACGCTGCTTGCTTTTCGCGTCGCCAAGTGGGGCGCCGAAAGCCAGGAGAATAGCTGCAGTCAGGTCCACTTCCTGGAGAATGCCCAGGGATTCCTGTCACTACAGAGGTGAGCTTTAATTGTCACCACATGGCATGTTACATCCGAACAGTCGGTCAGTAAGTTAGCTGTCTTTATCGAAACCGGATGATGGTTCTCACAGCGGTCACTATGGAGAATGATATTGGGGCGTATTTGCTCTATGCAGGAATTGTTGAGCCTCAGAGGGCTCGAGGCACGCGCGCGCAATGGGAGAGTTGCGGATTGTATTGGCGCGTTGCTAGGCGACAGCTCTGTGAACGCATGAATTGCGCAACAGTGAGTAGGGGGCACGCGACCTCTGCGTTTCCGCAAGTGACGTCACCTCCACAGAGTCCGTTGCTACGGACCACTCGGTAAACACCTCTTCCAAGCTAGGCAATAAAGTCACACAGCAACAGTTGTAGCTATCAGGTAACTGGCTTTCTAGTGAGTCCGTACTGCGACCGTTGCTATGCGATCGCTCGGTAAACACATTCGAACAATATAGGCTGTTTTCTGCGTGGTCAGTGCGGAGGCTATATAATACCAAGGAAAATGCAACGAGGGGTGCCACAAGGTTCGGTCCTGTCCCCTACTCTTTTCAATTTGTACATAAATGATGCCCCCCAAACACATGGCGTTCAACTAGTCCTCTTTGCAGATGACACTTCTCTGTATGCGACAGATCGCAAGGATGGATTTGTTGTTAGGAAACTCCAGCGCGGTCTCAGCTCAGTGGAGACCTGGTGTGAGCGCTGGAATATCAAATTTAATGAAGAGAAGACTGAGGGGATGTACTCTCGCAGTCGTCGTCCGCCTATGTCTCATCTTACATTGAATGGAAGATATATTCCATTTGTAAATGGTGTAAAACATCTCGTCCTAAGCGACGCATCACCTCCAAAAAGTGGCTTCCGACGCTAACACAATTTTCTCATTGCCACTTGGCTGGACTCGAGCCGAGTTCCTCACCCGTACGTCGAATGTAGGCATTCACGCAATCCTATTTAATGAATCGCCCCATCAGGAAGCCACAACCCAAGGACATACTCCGACCGGCTTGGCCCCATCTCGACTCGACTTCTAGTGGCAGGAATTGCCTTGTGCTCAGGTTACCTGCTCCAAACCCCACAAAAACAAAAGAATTCCTAGCCCTGCGGCATTCTCGCTTACTTCAAGCAGAACTAGTAGATCAGAATTTCATCAAAGATCAAAGATGTATATAATTGCAGACTGCTACAGTTACCAGTAACGTCTAGTGTTCTCTGGCAAGACGGAAGGAATGGTAATCATGAAGTCTTTGCTACAAATCGATATTTCGTTCCATGCAGGGCGTCGAAATTTATGAAGTTCGGAATCGGTTCGCCACATTTATGCAGAGGAATCTCATATAGCATCTGAAGATTTGAGTCTTCCCAGATGCATCGCACTGTACTGTCATAGTGACGTTTCGGAGTAACCTGCTGCCTGTGTCTTCATGGGAGGGAGAAATCCTTCTACCCTGAAGATAGAGGAAGAGCTTCCACAAGAAGCCTCCCTACCTGTCTACCAAATGACACGGCGTCATATACCAGAAAACCCATTAACTTCATTTCCTCTTTCATCATAACCTCAGAATTCGTAATAAGAAAGTTTGATCACAATCAGTCCTGTGCTTCTCGGATAACGAAGGGATCGAGCGTAAAACTCGCATTTCCCTTAAATTCGCATGAACAAACTGGCACGTGCTTTAGCATGCACGAGTTACCTAGACTAGATCAACTTGAGAAAAATACTCTCACGATTTAGAGGTGTGTGACTATAGACGGGGTATGGATTGGATATTGTATTTATTGACCACTTATACACGTTACTTTGAACTACAAATAGTCACAGCGCTGTTCCTAATTACAGAGCCGTTGTCTAGCAAGGGCCTTTGTAATGAGACTGTACAAGGAAGGTTATTAATGGGTTTTGTTAGGTTGCACAAAGAACGTTGAACAATTATCGGCAACTTTTTTCCCAAAACGGTACCTCCGAAACGACTGCAGTACTGCACAAATTCACAGGGTGAACCCCTGGGCAAGCTTTGGAGTCAGTAACAGCACCTTATGGTCCGTCTTCCTTCCCATAAAAATTACCATAACAGGGCAGTAACAACTCCTCTGGCTACCGGCCGGGAGGTCGAGGGTTCGGAGTTTGGGTCTAAGTAGGGGCAAAATTTTTCTCCTCTCCAGGTCGTCCATGCCTGTCCTGGTGCCACCAACGAACTTCCTATCTAGTGGCTACCGAAAACTCTTTCCCCGGGGGTAAATCAGCTGGGGCGTGAAGCTCACCAGTCACCTCTAACTAGTGCCATAATACATGGATCTATACATCCACTCCTCCATGCGTTTTCATGACGTAGTTTTAAGCACAGGAACAACTCTTAACGATACTCTACCCACTTCGCCGTGCTTATGCGGCAACTTCTCCGACAGCTGTGTTAGGCGGGTCACACTACACAGGCGTTTTCTTTCCTGAACTGTACCGTCACAGACAAACGGAAGAACGAAACGAGAATGCGAAACTTACCGTAGCGTCTCTCGTAACGTTCTGGGTTCGTATCGCCGAGCGGCTTGTCCTAGACTCGTATTCCGGAGTGCCAGATTCGAAAACATTTAGTAAGAAAGCATGTAAATAAATAGACGAATAAATGAATACATGCGCAATTTAATGAATGGGTATGTAAATATGTAAATAATTGAATCAATTAATGTAATGTAACGTTGTCTCTCTTGTGCTCATGTTTCAGGTGAATTAACCCTGTCAGTGTATGGCAACGGCTGTCGTCTTACGATTCACGGTGAGTCAGCACGCAGATCAGATCTCTTACTGAGAGAGCGCTACTTGACAAAACGCATCCTTTAACTATTTTTATCCGGCTCTCGAAAGTTCTATGTTGGTCATCGTTACACACGAAGGCTTACACTTGCGAACATTTCTCTCATATTTACTGGAAGACATATCCATTGAGACAAATCCTTCTTGAGAAATTCAGCTAATCAAATAATTCCCCGCCTTCAGTGTCCCCCCTTCTCCCAAGATTCATTGCTGTATTGACAACAGCCAAGGCTGGCTGGATTTATAAGCCAATGAAACGTCGACAAAACCACTCTTTAAGTTCCTTTGTAATAATATTTTCGCGTAACGTGGCAAGAAATTGTGAGTTCCGGATTACACGAAAATGGGTATTGGTAACTGCTTCTTTACAATTACGGTTTCGATCGCTCTGAACTAATGCCTTCCAGGCGATGCGACCTAATTAGTCGTCTCTCACATTTCGCCTTCAGCGGTTATGCCCTTACACCGCTGTTCTTCTCTGACCTCTGCTCTGCGTCTTGGTCTTCTCGTATCTCCTCCGCGGATCTGAATTGCCTTGTCCTCTCAAAGTCAAAGCCACATTGCGACTGACGGCCGGTCAGCCAGTCAGTCTGTAAGACAGTCTTGGTTCCGAGCCTCATCTGGGGCTCATGACCAGATATTTATTACTGTTTGACAGTTACGGTTTTGTTTTTGTGAGGCACCCTCTCTGACGAGAGAACGAGTCTTTTTGTATATGCTGCTGGTCCTTACCATCCCAGTCTTTCTTGTGTCCGAGTCCCTTGGGACTCTTCACCATATTTTACTGTCTCAAATTTGATACTTCACTTTTCATCGCCCCTTTCGACTCGCAGGGTCACGGTGGAGGTATTCAACCCCACCTCCACACGGGGTACACTGGTCCTCTGTTCTTTTGTTCTATACTCGGACGGAATAGAAGACACCTTGTCGCACCCTGTAGTTTCCCGGTTCCTGCGAACCCCACTGTTAGGGTTTCGACGCAGCGTGTCCGTTGCTGTGGAAACTCAACAATTCTATCTCTGTTGTCTAAGCAGTTCCTTAGGTACTTGTCTTTCCTTGTATACGTTGTCTCTGAAGCACGCTTTCCCACTGCAGCCGTTGCGCAGCGATGGACGTCATATATTCCGCCTTTTGGGCGGCACGCCACAATAATAAGCCTTGGTTCCTGAAGTAGTATCTTGCCCTGAATATTTCCGACTACATTTCGCAATTATTTCTTATCTTCATTGCTTGTGCTACATGACCAACCCATTTCATCATTCTTTTTGCAGATCCTGATGTTTTCAGATGCTTCAATTTACAGGCTTCTTCATTCCAAGTAAAACATTGAATGGCGACCCGTTTAGGTGCAGAACAGAGGTAAAATTTCTGTTTCGGTTAAGTCTCTGTTTTATGCCGAGTGTTGTATTGTATTTCGACTATGAATTTTCAAAACCGACACCCCTCTTGTGGTCCGAACAGTATAGTTCTAACAAAATGTAAGGCGTTATAACCACAAAGGCAGTATTCTTTATAGTGATCGCCTTTACAACCACGAATTTTCAATTTAAATGTAACCAACCACGCATCTTCAATTTAAATGTAACAAATCGATATATATATATATATATATATATATGTGTGTGTGTGTGTGTGTGTATAAGGTGATACGAAAGTCCTCTCCGTGTCAGTTGCAACGAGTTCGCAGGAACCGTCAACAGAGGCGCAACTTGACGGCTTTTCGATGCCAGTAAACACAATCTAATGCCGCATTATAATTGTTAGATGAGTTAATAAATCGCGTTTCACTTCACAAATATCCTGTTTTGTTCCAGTTATCAGCGGGAGAAACCTACAGAAAGCCGGAGGAAAACCATGTAATGCGTACGTGAAGGTGAGTTCTCTAATAATAGTTTGAACTGCTGGGAAGAACTTCCCAACTGGAAAACTGAATATATACAATATGTCCTATACCCAGTTTCTAACCTGATGTTTCTGCTTTGAAACTGGCCTTGTATGTTGTCACAGATTTCAGTGTCTCTTTCTGTTGGTACTGTGGTCCCAGAAGAGCCCATTTTATGTACCTGTCCCTGGTGACAGATGGCTGAAGCACTCTAAACATGGACCCCCCCCCCGAACTCTGGCACTGCTTGGGATTTGGGAATAAATGGAGATAAGAAGCGATTGGGTTCCGTGGTCCTGGGCTCCATTCTGGGGAGGAAGAGGCACTATAGAGGATGAAGCATAGTTTGCATGGCCAAGATGGCCATTTCTTTTGTCACTCACTGTCAGGAGTAATGTGGCAGTTGTCAGAATGTGCAAGATGTTTAAATTTTACATGTCATTAAATGTATATATAATTTGTACAAGGCCTCTCTCAGTCCAGGGTCAGTACAGCAGCAGTGTAACCGTACGTCCCTCGCCAAAATTATTCAATTAAGGGCATGACCAATTGAGGCATTGTTTCACACCATGAGAGCCGCTCCTCCGGCGAGATACCATCCCGGGACCGTCTAGGTTTAATTCAACTATTGTCCTCCTTAGGCTTAGGGTGCCACTGTTGTTCCTAACGTCGCCAGTTCGCTCCTAGTGTCATAAACCCATGAACTGACCTTGTGCGAGACCGGCCAGGAGGGGTCTTGGGTTCCTTGCTCGTGTGTCTTGAAGACCCAAAAAGGTTTACGATGAGCATCTCGAAAAATAGGAATGTAGGACAGATGTCGGGCTCGACCACTGGCTTTCTCTTTTTATTTCTCTTGCTTTGTTTTATGCCCACTGCGGACTTGTAAAGAGAGGGCAGTCGGTTATAGGGAGCGGAGGGGGACGGGTGTTGAAATGTGGACAGAGAACAGAGAAGTGTTTTACAGTAGGGGTACTGAGTAGGATGGACAGAGCGGCTAGCTCGGAGGACTAATGTAAAGATGGATCACTGTACGAAATTTTAAATTAAGACTGCGATACACGGTGTGTTCTGGAGACCCCGTAATTCATGAACCCCGAAATGTGTTCCAGTCCCATACCCGAAGCACCCATATCCCTGAGGTAAAGAACTCATCTCGAACAATAGTCGTGGCAGCTGTATAGCGGGACGTGGCTATAGTAGCTCCTGCTACAACAGCAGTCTAGTCAATTGAACGGTCATACGCTTGACCGCCGTCAAGTTTAAGCCTCTTATATAGACTTCGGGCAGGGGTTTTGCAGCCTTCATATTGTTATCGAACAAGACTGTGTCGGAGGTGAAGCCGTGATTGGATGAGTAGGGAAGCGAGATGCTAACCAATAGGAAACGACCACGTGATTAGTGAAGAGAGATACAGAATACTGTGGTGACCGGTTGGCCCCGACAACGGGTGGTGGGAAGCGTGTCACCGTGTTTGTCACAACATGATGAAAGATTTGTCTTTCTTTTCTTTTCTTGTTTCCTCTTTATTTAATCTTCTTACGTTTATTCCCCCACTTAGGTACCAAACAGAGTGGGTGGGTCAGAGGCGGGAGAGGTGATACCAGCTTTTACTCAGTCCGTATTCACATAACTTATCATTTCGATGGATTCCCGAGTGACGCACAAGCGGTAACTCCGGATGCGCGCAGGTCTCTGCTATATCGTCAAACTAATAAATGCTAACTTTAATTTGACTTTTCCGTCCAGAGTGGCTTAATTCCTTAAAGAGATAAAACTGTGCGAGGCGGCGAATCTGACGTCGCGTACTCACGGTTCCTCCTCTGTATGCCGGCGCTCGAGTACTCTGCTAACCACGTGACCTGTGACGCAAGCAACCGGAATCCGTCTGTGGCGCACCGCCGTGGTATCGATCCAGTGGCTACAGCGTACAGCCTCTCGTCTTAACTGCACTGTGGGGGGGGGGGCTCCACACGTCACGTCCAGTTGGGCCGGATGGCACATCTCTTCCGGAGATCTCACGTGGTGATGTTTTACGTATTTCGGGGGAGGGGGCATATCCCATCCCGGAAGGAAATGCTATTATTTGGGCTGAATTATTTCATGACTTATCTCAGTTCCTCCTGGCAATTACGAGTACCTCTGATGACGTTTTTCGTGGCTTTCACTCATCACCTCTATGAAACTGTCTGGGTTTCTCGCAAATTATTTGAAATATTCTATCGACCAGTCATTCAGCGCTCTATCCATCCATCCATCCATCTTTCCATCCATCCATCTATCCATCCATCCATCCATCCATCCATAATCCATCCATCCATCATCAATCCATCCATCCATCTATCAATCAATCCATCCATCCATCCATCTATCCATAATCCATCCATCCGTCTATCCATAATCCATCCATCCATCTATCCATAATCCATCCATCCATCTATAATCCATCCATCCATCCATCCATACATATATCCATAATCGATCCAGCCATCCATCCATAATCCATCCATCATCAATCCATCCATCCATCATCCATCATCAACCCACCTATCTATCCATCCACCCATCCATCCATCCTTCCATCCATCCATCTATCTATCCATCCATCCATCCATCCATAATCCATCCATCCATCATCAATCCATCCATCCATCTATCAATCAATCCATCCATCCATCCATCTATCCATAATCCATCCATCCGTCTATCCATAATCCATCCATCCATCTATCCATAATCCATCCATCCATCTATAATCCATCCATCCATCCATCCATCCATACATATATCCATAATCCATCCAGCCATCCATCCATAATCCATCCATCATCAATCCATCTATCTAATCATCCATCCATCCATCCATCCATCCATCCATAATCCATCCATCCATCCATCCATCTATCCATAATCCATCCATCCATCCATCCATCTATCCATAATCCATCCATCCAGCCATCCATCTATCTATCCATAATCCATCCATCCATCCATCCATCTATCCATAATCCATCCATCCAGCCATCCATCCATCCATCCATAATCCATCCATCCATCCATAATCCATCCATCATCAATCCATCTATCTAATCATCCATCCATCCATCCATCCATCCATCCATAATCCATGTCTCTACAGTCCTTTTTTGGGCCTAGGCCACTTCTTCAGTTTTTTAATCCTAAACACAGTCGGTAGGACCCCTCGGACGGGGATCAGCTCGTCGCTAGGCCGCTGTCTGCACAAAGAATAATACGAACACAGAATAAACACTGACAGATATCTACGCCTCGAATGGGTTGCAACCTACGATCCCAACGTTCGAGCGGGCCAACACAATACATGCCTTAGACCGCGCAGCCGCTGTGGTCGTCCATTTGGTGCTATGTTGTCTGACTTACTGACAGCATCGTTAAATAAATAACAAATGAATACAATCAGATGCAAATTGATAATGTGCTCACGTAAGTATAGAGTTCTCTCTGCCCTTAATTAAGCACTATGTCATAAAAATATAGAGGCACTGTGTCATAAAAATATAGAGGGGGTTGGACATAGAGTTTTACGCACTAACGGCTCAACGCTCCGGCCGCGCTGCTCCTGAGGACATAGTCCCCGATTCCCATTTCCCGTTAATAATGCCATCATAAGACATTTCTACGGGTCAGTGCCGCGTCCTGTAACTTACATTTCTCAGTCCCACCTTAACACCAACACCAGGAAGTAAGTTCTTGCCTAGCTGAGCCACAATCAGCTTTCTGAGAGGAGTGACTCAGTAACTTTAGAGTGGAACAGGTTTTGTTACCGCATCGAGATCTGTGGCCTCCTATCGCGATATATAGAATTGAAATGTTTCCACTCTGAAGATGGAGACAGCTGTTTAGTCGAAGCGAGTGGGCCGAAGCGGTAACGTTCCCGACTTTTATTCGGAAGATTCCAAATTCGAATATAGGTCGAAACACTGAGTATCGTCGCCGAGATGTGTCGTGGTATTCCTCAGTCCCTATGAGGAAAATGCTGGGATTATTATTGAAATTGCGTCATGACCCCTCCCTTTCTTCCACACCACTTCCTATAATTATTTTTTATTATTTCATTATTCTACGCCAAATAACCTTCAGATACCAGCAGTTTCTCCACATACCACACTGCACGGTGTCATTACCTACAAGACAACAGTATAAGTTCATCGCCTTATTCACAAGAGCCGTTCCTAATTCTCCGGGACGTTGTAACGTTCCCTTTCATTCTTCTGCTCTGCGTCAGTGCCTCTTGACATCGGCTCTTTACGAGACCGTACTCAACGTATCCTTGCTTGAGGCACTATGCTACAAGCCTGAACGTCGCGGGTTCTATTCCCGATGACGTCACCGGATTCTCCAATTGACCTAATCCTTCCAACCGCACTATGACCCTGGGGTCGACTCAGCTTCTAACAAAAATGAATACCAGGAATATTCAGGGGTGTTAAAAGGCGGTCGGCGCGTAAGGCTGACAACATCACCGCCATCTATGGGCCGATTGTGTAGAAAATGTGGTAGCCTCGACGTCTCACAACCCTATGGGCCTCCACAGCCTCTTAAAGCGATAGCTTTAGCTGTCCCAGACCGGAGGAGTTTCCAATATAGCACTCCGGAATAGGAGTGTAAGGCGCTCGGCGATGCGCACGCAGCCCCACATCTTCCATGCTTCTGTGGGGTTACTGTTCAGGCAAGAAAACACCTGTATAGTGTGACCCGCCCAACACAGCAGTTGGAGAAGTTGCCGCAATGGCACGGCGAAGTATCATTGAAGGAGAAGTTGAGCCACAACGCCATGAAGACGTATTGGGGGAGTAGATGTATAGATCCATGTATTCCTTACCTCTGCCCTAGTTGGAGATATGGTCATCTTCATTCCTCGGCCGCTTTACCCCCAGGGATAGAGCCCCCGATATCCACAGGACAGGAGGTTGTGTGGACCCCAGAGCCGGTTTGGACGAAGTGGATGGGAGAAAATTATTGACATTTCCGGGGGTCGAACTCTTAATTCTTGGCCGCCCAGTCCGTAGCCAGTCGCTCTACTGTCTTAGCTAGATTTCCAAATTCGTGTAGAGGTGGAGTTGTTATGGGCCTGTGGTCATATTTCACGTGAGAGAAGGCTTTCCCGGTCGCCCTATGGTAATTACCACACTTTAAATAATTTAGGATATTTAGTCTTAACTATTTTGAGTACTTATGTTTATTTTATTTTGTTGATATTCTCCAAGTTTCCCTGGACGGAGGGCAGAGACCCGACCTGCCCTTCCGGCCGGCGCCGTATCCACATTCTTCCAGTCTGCTTCTTTGTGCTATATTTCAATACCACCCTCTCATTAACAAGGGACACTTCTACATGACCCCGATTTACAGGTTTTGCTGCCTCAGATTTATACGCATCCAAAGCATTCTGCTCGTGGACCTCTTCCGGACACCAATCTTGACGCAACGTCGGTCTGTGTGTGTGTGTGTCCCTGGTCGTCATGGCAGGGCGCCTTCTCAGGTTGCGTCCTGAAATAAGGTTCGCGTTGAGGATGTATTGAGCAAAAAAAAAGTAAAGCTATCCTTGTAACAGGCACTGGGGGTCCATAGGGTTGTGAGACGTCAAGGCTCCCACATTTTCTAGACAATCGGCTCATAGATGGCAGTGCGGTTGTCAGCCTTACGCGTCGCCCCCCCCCCCCTCTTTACTCCCAGGAATATTCCTTGTACTCATTTCTGTTAGAGGCTGAGTCGACCCCAGGGCCATAGTGTGGCTGGAAGGATTAGGTCAATTGAAAAATAATTCCAATGACCTCATCAGGAATCGAACCCGCGACTTCCGGCATGTAGCATAGCGCCTCAAGCAAATAAGCCACTCGTCATGTAAGTTTGTATTTATGTACAATAGGGTTACAATCGAGCCGGGATAGCTCAGTCGGTAAAGCGACTAACTGCGGGCTGGAAGACCGAGGGGTCGGAGCTCGAGTCCCGGTAGGGTCAAGAACTTTTCTTCCTCATGTCTTCCAGACCGACTCTGGGGCCCACCCAACCTCCGATACAATGGGTACCGAGGGCTCTTTCCCCGGGAGTAAAGCGGCCGAGGCGTGAAGCTGCCCAGTCACCTCCAGCTAGTGTCGAGGTGAAGAAAATGTGGATCTATACGTCCACTCCCCCAAACGCCTAAATGACGTAATGCTTAATCAGTTAAGTACAGGGATATCTTCACCTTTTTACATTCGCCTATAGTATAAACATGTTTCAAACCGTCCGCTCTACTTCTGAGCTTGATGGAGTGACGAGGTAGATACAAGTAGGCACGTTGCAACTTGCTGGGATCAGCCGCGTGCAAATGCACAGCGGTTAGAATGCGAAACAGACATCAATACCCGGCAGATGTACGCATGCGCTTCACCGTCACTTGTTTCGGTCTCTGTGGCTTTAGGAACAGAAAACTAAGCAGGGACTGGGAAGGAAGGTTGTACCCGAACTACGCCCTCCGGCTTAAGGACTTCCGGACTCACGAGGTCCTGTTAAAGTATCACCCAAATTCGACTCACACCACAAACTTTCAGACTTATGACCTGAAACCCGAATTTCGTACCTCGGACAGCTCCTCCAGAAAACTTGAGGCCACACACCGACTACTCTTCCTGCTTCCCGCGCCATCTCCCCAACTCCCCCGCTACCAGAGCTCCCTTGTCGGAATTCGAAGAGATGCCGTCTCGTCAATATGCGAACGTTTGCAATGCTTCCACTGCCTGAGCCTGTGTGTTCCTATATATGTGTCAGGTTCTGTCATCCTGTCCCAGTGTCAGTGTGGCTCTTAAGATTGACGATTTCCGCGGCTCTTGCGCAGTGCGTCTCTTCGTGTCACTCAGTGCATTATCAAGACAGTGTAGTTGCTGCTGGTGCCCACAGGTGACTCTGGTGCCAACCAACGAGGAGCGGACGTTCCACCGCACATCAGTTCATCGGGAATCCAGCGCTCCATGGTTCGACCAGAAGTTTTCCTTCGAGGTTTTGCCTACAGACATCGACAAGAGAGTCTTCGTGTCAGCATGGCACCGTGACAAGGAGAAAAGGTAGGCAGCTGTGGTGTGTGTGTGTGTGTTCGAAACGTCTTTGAGGACGAGTATTCATCAGAAGCAACACGGATTTAGTGTAGATTTGCGTGAGACCGCGGTCTAAGTCCAGTAAATGTTGTTGCCCCTCGCTAGCACGTTCCTTTTTTGTCGGGCACCACAGGACCCCATGGTCAATTTTTTATAGTTTCAAGACAGTTTTTGTGTTTGGAAATAGGGTCTTCTTTTCGACGATAGGAGGTAAAGAAAGTAAAGGTATCCCTATAACAGACCATGGAGGCCCATACGGGTGTGAGATGTTGAGGGTCCCATATTTTCTCTAGACAGTCTGCTCACAGATGGCGGCAAGGTTGTCAGCCCTACGCGCCGGCCGCCCTTTACCCCCAAGATATTCCTGGTACTCATATCTGTTAGAGGCTGAGTCGACCTCAGGGCCATATTGCGGCCAGAAGGATCAGTTCATTTGAAAAAATTCGATGACCTCATCGGGACTTCAACCCGCGACCTTCGGCTTGTGGCATAGTGCCTCAACAAACTAAGTTACCGGAAGGGTTTGCCGAAATTTATTGCACAATAATTCAACACGAGTGTATAACCACACTCACGCACAGCACCCGGGTAAATGGAATATGTACTAGATGGACACCGTACTGCGTGTTATTTTATGAATAACAATGCATAATAGATCTGTCAATGCTGGCTTCTGCGGCAGATTACGCCTTGACCTGTTTTACCACTTCGAATCGGCAGTTAGTCCCCTTTAGCAGTCGTAGACCTGACAGCCGCAACTTTAAGCCTCTTTTACTTCTACATATGGCTTCTCTTTATCCAGTTACACCAAATTTGGGTGCCAGAGACACCGATGAAGACAGTTGGCCGCTACGAGTAAGTGTATAATGTGCCCTCATAGAGGCCGTCATGAGGATTTCTAACTTCTGGGATATAACGCCGTACAGCCAACATCTGAAGCGTCGGTTTATTTTCGACGGACCGCGCAACACTTTATGTGTCAGAAGGGAGAGCGTATCACTGTGTAGCAAATGTTTATGTTCCAATAAGACACGCCATTCCTTCAGTGCGTCCGCAGAGCTCTGTTGGCGCGCTGGTGCAGTCACCATGCAACACAACATAGGAATCCTTGGTTAAACTGTGGATAGATAATAGGGATACAAGATCACGGGTTCGATTCCCGTTGAGGTCATTGCATTTTCAATTTCCCTAATCCTTCGAGCCGCACTATGGCCCTGGGGTTGGCTCAGCCTCTAACAGAAATTAGTACCAGGAACCTCCCTGGTGAGTAAAGGGCGGCCGGCGTGTAGGGCTAACATCAACGCTATCTGTGAGCCGATTGTCTAGAAAACGTGGGAAACATCGACGTCTCACAACCCTATGGGCATCCACGGCCAGTTGCAGGGGTAGCTTCCAACAGAGCAGAAAACCACAGGACATCTCTCTTACCAAGACCTCTAGGTAAAGGCTGTTTACGTAAATAATCGCTGTTTGTTTTAAGAATCGTACGAAGCGCTTAAGTACACCGTGTGGGCAAAAAATGTTGCGTTAAATTTCGAAAAATTTGTTATATTGTTGTCATTTTGATTTAAAGAGTTAAAAATAAGAACATGATAAATTACGAAATTGTAGGAAAGTGGCGACTTGTGACGTGGGAGAAGGGGGAATACAGATAAATTAAGACGAGTAATAATGACTGTGACATGTAGACCCATTGCTAAGTGACATCTGTGTTAACAGACGATAGTAAAAGAGCGGTTACTAGGGAACAGCTCTGTGGACACGTTATTTCTCCGGCAAAGGGAAAACACGCATTAATGAAAGAGATTTTTCTGTTTGGTCCATCCCGGGGTTATATAACTAGGACTAAAACCATCCTCTCGTCAGACGATATTCGGGACTCAAACTCCGAGCCCTCGGCCATCCATCCCGTACCCAGTCGCCATACCGACTACAGTGTCAAATTCATAGCGTTAAGATCTTTATGTAGACGGTAACGAAAATTTGGATTTATTCGAATCTCGTCCACCCGTATCTAAAAATTTGGCAAATCTAGCTATCGAATTGACATTGTTGATTCTGATGTTCGCATATTAAGAATAGCAATCTACGTGGCACGGCTTACTGAGCCCAGTACCAGAAATCTGCACAGTGCGATGCAATGTGAATTTCAATAGGCGAGATGCCGCTAGCGCGCCACGTCACGAGTGATTAATGACAGGGCCTTATTACGCATGCGTCTGAGAGAGAGAGCGACGCCATGATGGATGAGACACAAACTAAGATCTAACAAATGACAGTCTTGGTGACTGCTTGAAGCATAGAAATTCTATAGAGCTCTGTTCATCCCTTCAGCGTCAACAGTTATGTATTCTATGGGTACCTTTCTCTCATTAACAGGATGAAAAATTGATGTGGAATCCCTACCGCTATTCCAGTCTATAGAATGAAGTGCAGACGTTTGCTACGCCATGGGATGGTTGCTCACATAAAGATCATATTCTCGCAGTGTTGTGTATGAAAACTGCTAAGTTCTGAGGTGTTCCGAAGCGGCGTACTGCCTCTGTCTTCAGTATGGGCCAGTATTGTACGTGTAGAGCAGTTATTGTATGATGGCCACGAGATAGATGTATATACCTGAGTCATGTTCGGTAAACACGTTCCCACAGCAACGAAATCGATGTAATTGCTTGTAGTTCCGAGTCGTGTGTATCAATGGTCAGTAAATCCATTTACCAATCCAAACCCCGTCTATAGTCACTCATGCACGTGACAGTATATTTATCACTTTGCTCCTATTGATTCTCTCTGAGTTATATCACAATGATGTTTCTCGCGCGATGTTCGAAAGAGTTACTGTTTACTAGGCTTGCTCTATGTGACAAAGTTTACTACTCTAACTCCAGTATTATCACTAATTTCATGCAAACTCTCATTCCCAATCGTTGGTTTGGAAATGTCTTCCCTCCCTACTTTGGCATTGAAATCTCCTAACAAAATTTTCATAGGGTACTTAGGGAATTTATCAAATATATGTTCTACTTCTGTTTGAGAACAGGCTGTTGAGGAGAATATTTGGACAGAAGAGGGATGAAGTGAGAGGATGTCGGAGAAAACTGCATAATGAAGAGCTTCATAACGTGTACTCTTCTCCAAGTATAATTAGAATGATGAAGTGAAGGAGGAAATTCATATAGGATTTTGGTGGGAAGCCAGAAGGAAAGAAACTACTAGGAAGACAAAAGCGTCGGTGGGTGGACAATATTAAAATGGATCTTAGAAAGATAGGATGAGATGGTATGGATTGGATTGATGTGGCTCAAAATAGAGACCGGTGGAGCGCTGTTGTGAACACGGCAATGAACCTTCGGGTTCCATTAAATACTGGGAAATTCTTGAGTAGCTACAGATTTGGCTTCTCCTCAAGAAGGGTTCAGTTCAATAAGTACGTAAGTTTACCTTTCGCTTTGGTATTAGCGGTGTTGAACCTTCGTGTTCTGCTGCACAGTTATAGGAACTGAACTCATGTATAATTTAGGCTTCAGGAAGTTCAATAAACTCTTTCTACAAATTGTCCTGCGCAATATATCTGTAATGTGTACGCCACTCTTGAGCACATCTGACGTTACGGGGATGTCACAAGGGTGAGGCACACGGTCGGCCGTCGAGGTGTGGGAGGGCTAACCCGACTCGAAGCCCGCCACCCTCTCCCAACTTGCCGGAAGAAGCCTTGTCCCGCTTGTATGGAAGGTGCGTTCTATATTCAGTTAGCAGCTCATTAATCAAAACGAGTGGGGCTCCGAGCATCAGTAGTACGCCTGGTCTCCACGAGGGGCGCTCCATGCGGCATGTTATGGGAGAACAGTGCAGTTCGGCATGGGCGGTCCTCATCTGAGCCGTTCCGTGGTTTTGTGATCGCTACGTCGGTAAGAGCGTGCTGAAACCATAGCAACAATAATACAGTAAGACCTCACTAATTCGGGCTAAGTAGAAGCGAATCCTTGTCCAAACTCGCAAAAGTCCGAATTATAAAAGTGCTACTGAAAATATTCTGGCATATTTTTGTTCAAAGCAGGAACTGTGTAGCCAGAGAAATAGCCGTTGCTAGCGTTCTGCCCTTTTTTATTTTTTCCTACCCTGAAGATGTAGTTAACAGTTTACGTCGAAGAGCTTGTAACCATCGACGAGTCTAGATCGTTTCCCAGGAAACTGCAGTTTTCACATGGCAACAGCAAGCTGATACAAGTCCCGTTTGCGCAAGCGGCAGTACACAACACATGCACTTAAGAACCCTTTACTGGGTCATGAAATGGCTTCCGGGAAGGGAGAGTTTCTTTCATGTTCGTTACCATAGCAACGAAGCGACGCTTCTTTTCCTTATGTTTCATCATGGTTTAGCTGAGAAGTTGTGCGGCACGCCACTGCGATTAGCCGCCACAAACAAGAGCACTGCATTCGAACTGAATTTACGTGTTAGTGTGTAGAACGGCGGGTAGATGGCTGCACTGTATCCTGCAGCAAATGTATGTACAAATTATTAATAATATATTCTTAATAATAGTAATATTCTTAGGGTTAAGTTCAGAGAGATGTTCAGAAATCGCGGGGTGACCGTTGTGATAGAGTAAGATGTTTATAAGAATGTGCTACAGAGGGCCGATGGGCATTGCGTAGGTCCTTTTTTGTATACACATGATTCTTTTTCAAATAGAAAAATATTTCCCATGACTGAGAACTGTCTCGGGTGGCAGATGCACTCATATGCTAGCAACACACCACACACAAACCATTACTCTCCAGTGATTGCAACTAGCCCTTTCTAACGGGCCCAACTGAGTAGGTCTATCCTGCCCCATCCACCTGAGAACGGAGACAGATCCAGTCTCCGAAACGTTGTGGTTTTTTGTCCTCTATATACCAGATGATGGATAGAGCCCAAAATTAGCCTAATAGATCTGTACAGCATACACCATCGTCAGAATCCTTCCAAG